ACATTCACTTGTTCTAAAATAAATCAATTATTTAAGTTTTAAATACTATGTCCGGTATATTCGCTCTATGTATTGAATGCCCAAACAAAAACGTCCCTTTCTTAGGTTTTCATGGAGGGATTTTGTTTCAAGCTTAAATTTGGGGGCCCCCAATTTTATTAAAAAAGGGTTTTTTGCAATGCTTATTTTTGTATAAATGAGGGGGAATATAGGAAATTGTACAAAATAAAGGTTAATATTTGGAAAATATTTATTTGGGAAAACCCCCTTTGTTTTTAAAAAAAGTTTTGAATTTTGATTTCTTTAACCCCTTAAACAGATGGGGCATATTTTCTGGGGTTGTTAGACCACCCCTTTTTGCGTTATCAAATTTGACTTTAACCCTTTTGTTAAACCCTTTTCCCCCACCTTTTCCAACGACAGGGGAAAAAACAGACATGTGGGTTTAAAAAAGAATGTAAGTAAACCCTTTAAACAGATTATTTTTTATATCCTTTAAAAAGTGTTCTGCAATACTTATACAGATGGCCTAGGTCACAAATAAGAAAATGTCACAGGGCGGCGTCTGTTTCTCCAAAAAGTCGCAATATCGGCCGGCGTCCGTCCGACGGCAGTGACTTTCGGACGGCAGCAGCTGAAAATTTTGCTCATCGGGCTGGCGCCTTCGAGTTTTAAGTAATACTTAAAAGCTAACGGCGGCCGGACGATAATTTTTGGGGTCACTGAGTATAAAATATCATCGAGCGGACATCGCTTGGTCGCCGGGCGGCGACCGGGCGATGTTTTTTTTGATCGGGCGATTTTTTGTTCTACTAAAACACCGTCCGATTTAAAAGGCGTCCGGGCAGACATCGGCCGGGCCCCGCCCGGTGCCTGAATAGAGACAAGTAGTCAAACGATTATCGCCCGGTACTTGGACGATTCATGTACAGGCACCGGGCGGTCATCGTTTTGTCATCCGGCAATCGGGCTGCTTGTACTTGTTGTAATTTCAGCTTGAAGATTGTTGTAATTGTCACAAAAATATATTTGTGAGTTTCTTTTGAATACCAGTAAACATTAATTTTTTCTTCAATGTTCGTGCGAGTGTCTGATTGATTTTCGCCTTCTACGCCGTTGGTGACTCGGTGCCAACAACATGGACCACTTCTCCTTGGCCTTCCCCTTGGGGCTTTGGCAAGCTTGACTTTTTCTTTGCTAGCTTTAAATTTACAACTGGCTGATTTATAAAGGGATGCTCTCATTAAATGTCAATGCCATTTGTCGCCCGGCGCCCTCGCGGGCAACCGCCCAGATTAAAACTTTTTAAATCCGCACATGCGCCCTTCCGTACGGACATCGGGCGGGCGACCGCCTGAACCGTTCAATTCTTTCTGTAAATAATCCATTTCGGCAAAAAATCGCCCGACGACTGTTTTCATTCATGACCCCACGCAAGGTATCAGATTTAAAATCGCCCGGCGTCCACGACATCAAAAAATCTGCCGATTTTATAAAATTCGTTTAATCGGACGGCGCCCGTTTTATTTGTGACCTAGGCATTATAGAGACTACTTTTGAATTATACAAGTTTGCTGTAATATTAAAAAAGCATATCAAAATGCATTTTAAAAAAAATAGTTTTTAAAATTTAAAAAAGGGCGAAAATTTTGGGAAAATTCTTATGGACGGGAACCATAAAACGGGAATATAAACGTAAAAAAGGGGTTTTCCCAAAACTGTTTGTTTTCCGTCAGGTGGGTTTAATTGTCCTCGTCACGTCTGATCGCGGGTTCGGAAAGCATTCGGGGAGAATGGGGAAACGCTGGTGGAAACAGAGTTCGATTTTTTTTTACCAGGGACAAAAATACAAATCGGATCAAAATGGGTTTGAGACGGTTTTAATGGGGACGAATTTGCTGGAAAAACGGCGGGAATCGGGAGCCCCCCAAAAAACAATACTGTTTGGGTTGTGGGTGATTAAATAAATTTTTTTACAATTTTTTGATAAAATTTTAAATTTTCCCATCACGAATCACGGGATTTGGGATAAACCCCTTTTGACACATTTTAATCGGGAATGGTCCTATAAAGGACGGCAGTAAAAATCCTGAATGTGTGACTTAGGCATTACATGTTATTCTGCACATCAAAGGCGCTGCCAAATAATGTGAACAGTCACAGGTAATGTACAAAATCAACCTTGACAATTGTTCTCTATAACATGTATAATAACAGTTGAATATCCGAAGTACTAATATTTTCTCCATGTTCTTGATATGTGCTCCTTGTTTAGTAATTAAGTTGCATTTTTTTGTGGAAAAGTAGAACCTATTGCATAAATTCACAAAGTATTGTCATGTTCTGTTATTTTACAAATATCAAAAATATGTCTGTAACATCAAATAAGAGGTATAATTTGTTAAATACAATCAATTCTTAGTTGCGTATTGTTCACTCATTAATAAAAGATTAAACTACTTGATAAAACACAAAATTATATATATACCTGGACATTAGGTATAGAACCACTAAATGTAAAAACAAATCTTGGCAAAAGAGAACAATCGTCATAGAATCCTTTAAAATAACCTATTGCAAATATTTGTGATACATTTTAAGATAAACATTTTTTTTCACTCGGTTAATCTGTTTATAACTTAAATATTAATAATTTTCATGATTAAGGACACGTTTTGCCCGTTTTGTCAAATATATTTCCTTTGCACACGTAGCTCCAAAAAATATCCGTTACGTATATTAGTCATACTCCTTCCTGTCCAAATTTGGTCCCCGTCATTAGAATATAGACTGGCTCATTGGCACGTTATTAATAAGGTAACACAAAAGATAATGATTAAAAATAATATGATAATCAAACATGGTACTTTCACTTCAGTTAAACGTTTACTTAAAATCCTTAAAGCTCGGTGACATGATGCACATCATAAAAGCTATTTGTAAGAGACAATTTGAAAACAGAGTGATTTTGTTAAAACAAAAAAAAATACATAAAAGCAAGAACAAAATTGTTCCCAAATGCATATCTAATAGACGCGGCGCTTGATAAATTTATCATTACGGTGTCTATTATCCTGTTGCCTCCCTGGTTGCTTTAGATCAGTCTGAATGCACATGTTTAAAAAAATCTTAGAAATAGCAATAAAAAAGCAACTGTTGAAAAATCGATTATCTAGTAAACTAAAGTGAGAAATGTCATTATAATTCTCCTACTAAATGCATTTATCATAAAAACGCGTTTCAGGATATACCCGACAAAACGGGAGAAACCTTTAAAATCAGCTGTCTTCGTTTGAAACAGATATTTGAAAATGATGGTTCAATTTGATGAACTACAAACACAAATCATCGACATACACTAAAAAAAAAAAAAAAAAACCTGATTTTACTTGTTATGTACTTTAATGCAACAATAATAAAGTGGGAAAATGTATTACTGGTGGAAATGAAAACAGACGAACTGGAATTGCGTTACATTTTCGTTTAACCTATTTAAAGATAAATAATTGTTTATTGTATGACATGTAAACATTAAGCAATATGAACATTTTAATTTTAATTTAATCCCCCATAAGGCATCTTATCTAATATACTAAAGGAAGCACGCATGTACGCTTTTTGTATAGGGAGGAGTTTTGAAATTTAGAGAGAAATGATCCTCAAAATCAAACTATAACATTCGATTCGTTTTCACTATTTTCTTTTCATTCAATGATAATTACAATGTGTAACAAGTAGGCCTTTACATGCATATAAAGCAAACATGTGTATGGCATATGCATGCAAAATGAACAAATATGAATTTGAAAATCTCTATATAGATTTAATTTTTCTTTTTAATTGCTCACAAAAGTAAGTAAGCAATTTATTTATATAAACAAAACACACTTTTTTGGAGTTAAATAAGTTTCTGTCTAAGCTTTCTTGAACCACCGTTTCCTGATGTAATGAATAAAAAAAATATGTGCCACTCTTGACCAATGTAATTTTGAAAATGCTCACTAATGAACACTAACCTACATGTTTACTTAATGATGAATGATTTTTTAATAAAAAATCTATATAGTTACATACAGTAATTATTTACTATCGTAAGCAACGTTATTAACGAGTGATTAACCACATCAAATTGGCAAAAATCAAACATATTAATATTCGTATGATTTAACTTAATCATCATTTTGCTTGCTAGACATATAATCATATACAGCTATTCTGTCATGCATCAATAGAGTAAAAATAAACGAACACACAAAAATGTTAAGTGTTTTCTTTTCAATAATGATTATACGTTTTTACCTTCCAGACAGGGTTCAAGCTCTATTACAGCAAGCTTTTTCAATTGCAGACGCAATTAACCATATTTAGACACCCTTTTCAATGGTTTAATTGAACACGGGAGAACACAATGGATAAACATTGGTAATCAGTCTTTCTTTTTTGTCACTGATATCAATGATAAACATGTGCGGGTTCCGTTTAAGTGTCAATGCATCAAGTCGAGTAGAATAATGCCATTTTGTATTAGATGAACTATCAATCTTTCATGTTTAAAGATTAAAACAGAGATTACCGATGTTTGTGTTTAAACTCATTAGCAAAGGTGTAAACAGTATTTATAATATATGAAACGTGGATCACGACTGACGATATCATCCTGTCAAAGCTAATAGTTAAAAAGACGATAAGTTGATGAATAAATCTATTAAAAAAGTGTTTCTGACTGGCGCCAGTAACGAAAGAAAGATATATTAGTAATGTTTCAAAAGTCAGAAGGCAGCGAAGGTATTGTAGCAGAATTACAATAAACTGTTTAATACTAAATAACACATACCATCAATAAACTAAAGATTGTATCGAAATATCTTTCTAGCTATTCATACTATCTTAGCCAAACAAATATTGAATGGCCTCATTTAAAAAAATATGTTTATAAGGTTTATATTTTACAATATTTCGGTAAAATATTGACTCGTACGGATTGACTTTAAAGTGTATAAAATTATTTTTGTTTAAAACTAATAGGTGAGATAACTGATCAGAAGATGGCGTTTTTGTTAGGAACAGAGATTTCAATAAGTGATTTAGAAGAGGGTGACTTGATAGAATTTTACCGGACGATTTATTGTCATTGGGCCGTATATATTGGTAAATATATATTTTATACGTAAATACGTAAAATATATATTATTGTTTCTTTTTTTATAATGTACTGATATGTTTGTCATACGTAGCAGTAATAATGTTATGTTTGAAACGCTCAGATAAATGTTTTTGTATTTAGATTATTATCGATATCTCTAAACATAATATAAAATTGATATTAATGCTATTATAGGAACAATAAATTTTAGGACAAAAATGAAAGTATTTATTGTACTCGACTCTTTTAATCAATTGCTTTTGTTGTATTGATAACGAACGGACAGATGTTAAGGTGGTAAGGAAAGTAACTCCATTGAGTACAAACAAGACTTACAAGACTTGTAAATGTTATGTGACATGACTGTACTGTGTTCTGTTTGTGTCACTACTGTAGTCAGTAACATAAGATGATAAAAATATCAAAGTCTCTTTTTTATTATTACAATTTTAACAAATATACAAATAGTAACAGAAGGGACTAATATTATAATATAGTAATATTACATGCATTGTTTCATGCCAAATTAAAAAATGGTTTCTTTCAATACTGATAGAAGATTGTTACCTGAATTTTAGGCAGGTATGAAGAAATTCACTAACATCATGTTCGTGCGATTCAAAGATATAAAAGCTACTTGACATTTGTGATATATAAAAAACTATTTTTAATTGATTTATTGGGAGATCAATATACTTTTTTGCTGAATTGCTTCAAAACCATTCATAAAAAACAATGCACCTCATTTTCAAACTGCAAATCAAAGTGTTTGTTGTTACCAATGATACGATCTAGCTATCTATAGTCTATGCTTAATGAGGGTCCATCCGCCCATACAGCTGTTGCTATCGAGTACGGACCCCGGACATGTCACCAAGCACACAGTGTTGATAATTTACCTTCGTGCATTACCAATGATGTCAATGAAATATTACCTTATATACTAAAGTTATAATTATTTCAAAATAACCAATATATCAACACGTTAGTATGAAACATTTAGTTTCATAAATATATATAAAGAATAATTATCAAAAGCAAAATTATTAAAGTCTTATGCCTGACATCTTCTTTATATTGACAAATTCAATCACTAATAGTCTAATTGATTTGCTTTGTGTAAATGTAATTCAAAATGTAACAAATTATAATTTCATGTACAACTAAAAAGGGAAATAACAAATTCATAACCTAAGTGTCAAAAATCAGAACATTCATAGCTTTTTATAGCTTTCGAATTTATGTACAGCAGAACTGCTTTCTGCTTCTCATTCATTAATATGACATGCTGCGAATCACCGAAGGGGGGACCAATATAATAATCGGAATGAGTTATTGAATCCGTATTTATTTCTAGCTATAAATCGAAGGGATTAATTGATAAAATCCGAGCCTATGGACAAAAAAAGTAAACACAAATAGCACCGAGCCTGTGGGCGCAGAGCAATTTCTAGCTGTAAATCGAAGGGATTAATTGATAAAATCCGAGCCTATGGACAAAAAAGTAAACACAAATAGCACCGAGCCTGTGGGCGCAGAGCAATTAGAGATATCATCATGAACATTTCTAGGTAGATAGATTACATTGGGTAATAGCGCAGTGCAAAAAACCCTAACTCTGCTTTGCCTAATTTTTGAGTAATTGTCCTTTGTTCCTTTGTTTCACTTTGATTGGGCATAGCTGTTAGACCATGGGGAGTATCAACAAGAAAATTTGTAGGTAGAACGATCTTATTAAATAAAAATACAATGAAAAAGAACCGTCATTCTGTTTTCCTTAATTTTGAAGTTAATTACCCTTTGTTCATTGTGACACTTTCAACATTGTTCAGAACAAAGCTCCAAAAGTATAAAATATATGAACAAGAATCTTTGTAGGTAGATAGGTCTCGTTGGGTAGTTGCGCTGCGCAAAGGAACCATAACTATGCCTTGCCTATTATTTGGAGTTATTGGCCTTCGTTATTCTTCTTCGTCTTTGATCTTTGTCCCGGACATAACTCTGAAAGTGTAAGAGATATCAACCTGAAACTTTGTAGGTAGATAAATCTCATTACGTAGATATGCAATGCAAAATAACCGTTACTCTGTCTTGCCTTTTTTGAGTTATTGCCCTTTTTCAATTTTACACTAAACTTTGTCCGGGACATAACTATGAAACTACCAGAAGTATCAACAAGAAACTTTGAAGGTAGATAGATCTCGTTGAGTAGACGTGCAGTGCAAAGAACACTTACTTTGCATTGTCAATCTGAAACTACAAAAGGTATACATACATTTCTGTGTCAAAAACCTACTTGTGGAGGATCACTCGGTTTAACTGGCTCTTGTTTTCATTTGAATTTAGTCTTTTACGTTACTAGACGGAGTACGATATTCATTTGATACGTTTTTTTTCAGGACTTCAAATACAGGTTAATTGTTAAGATAGGATCTGATTGTGATTGTTATCGAAATGTCACGTTGAATGTTAATATGTTACATTTTGTGAACAAAAAAGGATATATCATCGATTAGACAGAGGATAGGTGATCCCAACTAAACAAATGACTATTTCCGTCGATAACAAACGTCCTTTCTCCAGCAAATGTACATGTAAACCAAACCTGATAAAACTAACATAAGATAGAAAGTATCATGCGATTTACAATATCTGTTTTAAGGTGATGGAAATGTCATTCATTTGTTATCGAATGCTGATGATATTACGGGAAAAAGTAATAACAAAGCCAACATAGGTGGTGAAGGGTATGTCCGAATAGACGATATAAGAACTGTCGCAGGAGATTCAAAGACTTATCGACACAATGACCTTGACAAACAACTTAAGTAAGCATTTTGTATTGAACATTCACAGTCTACATTTTACGAAAAGAAAGGAAAAACTCACTTTTAATAATCTTTTAATTATTTTTCTACCTTCAAATATTTTTTTCAAACGGATTAAAAGTTATTGTTAACCAGGATGGTATTATGATATATAAAATTTATAGAAATTAATTGCACTTGATTAAGTTTCAACATTTCATTTAATTAAAAAAATGTTTATACTGTTTTACATTTAGGCATTTAGATAAAACAGATATCGTTATGCGAGCAAGGATGAAAGTTGGCAGCCATAGATATAATTTATTGTCCTACAACTGCGAGCACTTTGCTACTGAGTGTAGATATGGAGAGGCTAGGAGCCTTCAGGTTTAGTTCTATTTCACTTAAATCCTTTAAATACCAGCATAAAAATTCGATTAGTAAAATAAATCAAAACGTTTTAGCTGAAAATGATAACAGCTTTTGGTGTTGTTTTGAATGAGAATAAGAAACTTTATTTTAATTAAAAAAAACAACAGAAAGTCACACCGTTCTGTTATTATTATCATGATATTATTTCTTTTGGCAATGATTGTGATATCAGTATTTTAGAGAAAACTATATATTAATGATGTAACTGTAATACATTTCTTTGTCAATTTGGTCACATAAACCTTTTCTATATGTTATACCTTGCAGGTCGAATGGTTATTGTACAGGTTTGCACGACCTGTCTATCGAGAAATGCAACAAAACGGTTTGCTTGGAATTCTTACATCACCCGCAATACCAGTGTGGCAGATATATTATACGATGTTCGACAACAGCTGCAATCGTGCTTTGGTGAAGTTAAACTAGAACAACCAGAAAAAATCACTCTTATTTTACAAGTGATATAATGACATTCATTTTCTATTATGTATTGTAACCCTATGGTTTGCACAATATTGTTAAATTATTCAAAAAAGAACATAGCTAACAGGAAATTAAAGTAGTTTTAACTTATGTTTATCTTAAAAATGGTATAATGTTTTATAAAATATATCTCGATATTACACTGTTCCAATCTATTATGGTCCTATACATTGCATTAGTACGCCAAACTATGTATAATTATACCTTGCCATCGTTATCCTTAACGTCTTATGACGTTGTCGTCATTTCTTGTAAACAAGTTTACCTGATGAAGACATTTAATTCGAATCCTTGTGGGTTTTTTTTTTAGTTACAAAACAAAACATTTAATAGATTTCATTATACAAACTTACACTTCTAATCTATCTGCCATTTGATATAAATTTTTGTAGAATCACACTGATCAAATTTTAGCATGTCCGTTGATAAAAAATCGTTCTGGTTCCATATTCTTATTTGGTGAATATATGACAATTGTAAACAAAACAAGGCAATTTGTGTATATAAACAATACCGAAGATATTTTCATCGTATTCCTCTCGTAGAATTATGTACCTAATTATGTAACATATAATATTGATTTATGGGAAGTCTTTGTCAATTGTATATGTATTTTGGTACATATTTAACGGTTTTTATAAGCGGTAATCGATTCATCTTGTCAGACGTTTACTCTAATCGTCTTGACATTGTGACATTGTAATAAACTCTCAATGTTGATCGATTATGTTTTTATCAAAGTAAATATATAATCCAGTCAATAAGTCAACTTTAAATATCCATTTTCAATAATACGAATGACAGTTGAATAGAAAGAAGTAAGAAAATATTTAATCTGCTCCTTGCAAGCGCGATAGTATTACGGGACCATATGAAAAGTTATTCTGCCTGCACGTTATAGCTTTAACAATGCTACGCAAGATGTATTACATTGTCACCCGGTATGTTTTGCTTGCGCACGTGAGTGTTTACGCGGCAGTGATTTGTATAAAGTAAGCGTTCGCACGTAAAAATATTGTGACCACACTTCATGACTTTTGAGTGCGTACATAATACCTATGGCGTGGCCATGTAATACTATCCCCATGTGTTATCTACCAACTGATCATGTTATTTTTACTACGTATGCATTAGGTAAATAAACTACTCGTCGCCTTAATTCTATATTGATGTAAGTCGTATTTTTACCATTTTGAGAAAATCGACTTCAAAGTTTTAACAGGCTATATCTTTACACTTACTCAACCAATTTTTATATAAAATATATCATAGTTTGTAGAATTATTTTAACTTTTACACTTTTAATTACAAAGAAGTACCTGTAGATAGATTTTTTAAAAATTAAATTAAAAAATGAAAAATCACTGAAAAATATATTTTATTGAAAAAAATACAAGAACCAGAATGCTGTAATAAGCTACAGCAATGTGACCCTAAATATCATTACATTTAGGAGTAACCAGTGTGAAATAATGACTATTTTGCTGTTTTATACTGAAATTAAATTAAATTTAGACGTAACTAGAAATTGGGTGCTTTAAAAGAATAGTCTGGATCCACATTTATTTAGGCACCACAGAGCATAGAATGTCATCAGGATCAAAACCGTAAATTTAGTCTTAAAAGTCAATAATAGAAATCAAGACAATGCGGTGAAGTGTGTATAGCCACGAACAGGCATTTTAAGGTTTAAATTGAACTCGGGCTTCATTATCTTATGTCCATTTACATGAAATATGAGCCTTGCAAAAGAACAAAAAAATAAGATATTTCTGATTTTGTTATGTATCACATTTAGTTAAACAAACTGAAAACAAAATTCAGAAACATCGTCATTGTATTGACATTTACCAAAACTTTTATCATATGATATGCTATTTTCACATTAAGATTGTTCACTATAAAATATTTGGAATTCAGATTTACTTTTGGTTTCGTTTATTATATCATTGCAGACAAACAGCATGTTGAACACAATTTGACTTACAAAACACACAAAAATGTTTGAAAGATATTACTGCTTAAACTTTGAAAAAGAACATCAACAATGTGTTCCTTTCTCTGTAACATAAAAAAGAATAAACCTATGTATTTTACTTTTCTAAGAACAGCATTACTAAATGTTTTGTTAAAAAAAAGATGAATATAAAAACGCAACTCAAAGCTCACAAATTTTCAAAGATGCTACAGATCTTAATATGGTGTTTCAATGAACTACTGTTCTTCAATTACTACATGTATTTATATATAAAGTGTCATACAACTTCTGTTCAAACAATTTCTAACATACAATAAAAATTAAGTAAACGTTTGCTTTTAATGTTTTTAACTGAACTGTTTACACCAATAACTCATTCGTATAAAAGCAATGCTCAATATCTAAGAGTTTCAGTCAAATATTTATTCTATTTTACTTCAACAAACGTTTGATGAAACAAATATGGCAATTTAAAGATTCCTTAATGTTTTATATGGTCTTTAGACTTTGTAAAATTTTTTCACAAAATCGTTTGTTCTACGATTCAATCGAATGAAAATTTTTAACCAAGCATGTCTTTTTTTCTTTTTAAAAATACTTTTGGTAAAGGATAATTTTCAGTTCAAAGGTTCAAATCACTTGATAATTACAGGTAGTATTACATTACGAGTTGGAAGTAGATGTACTAGAATTATTTTTAACTTAGAAACTTAGATTAATTTTGTTTTGCATGTTTCAATTACATAATAAATTTTAGTATAAGACTGAAAATGATTATGTTGGCAAAAAGGTATGGACTGACACCCTTTTGATTTGTAATGCAAAATAGCTGAGTAGGTCAAAAGGGTGGCATTCTGTTTATATATTTGTTGTGCAAATGACGTCTCTTATTCAACTCTAAATGGTGCAGCTGAGACAACTCCCAGGCACGAGTATCGGACCTGGGAAGAAAAAATATGACCAGATTGATAAAATAACCCGTGTTCATCTTCAAAAGTGTCAAAAACCAAAAAAAAAATGTAAATAATGACCCCCTTTAAAAATATACTATAATTAAAGAGAAGGCCGGAAACTCCAGATTCGAGCCAACGAGCAAGGGATTCATTTCACGGGCCGTTATGAAAACAATTGGCCAGATAATTAAAACAAACTTTTTTATTACTATTTCAAGTTAACTTTGTATTAAGCTTCCAAATGAGACCGACCACAAGTCTCTAGCCCTTCCCGTTCGTGAAATATCTATCAGGAAACGAGCGAATTCGTGCTAAAAATGTTTGGTAGACAAAATTGCGGTACAACGATTCGGTACGCAAACATAGACTAATACATGTTTGTCAGCTGAGTACGGGTCAAAATCACTTGAATTTACTGACTAATATTATTAAATACATAAAGTTGGACCAATCACAGTCGTCAGTAACATCTGATACATGCGGAATTCGAACTTCAAACATTTCCACGGTTATTAGATTTCGTTGTACGCCATTGTCAATCAGCTGTTCGATATTTTGTAACGAGTCTTCTGATTGGCCAATAGCAACAAAACCGCAACGTTTCACACAAGGATGCCTAATGGCGTAGGAAGCGATTGAAAGACCGTTTTAATGTTTGAAACTCGAATTTCGTGTGTATCAGATGCTACTGACAGTTGTGAGCGGTCTCATTTAATGAATTTAGTAATATTATTTAGTGATTTTGACCCGTACTCAAATGACAAACATGTATTGGTCTATGTTTACGTACCGAATCGTTGTGCCGCAATTTTGTCTACCAAGGATTTTAAGCACGAATTCGCTCGTTTCCTGATAGATATTTCACGAACGGGAAGGGCTAGAGACTTTGGGTCGGCCTCATTTGGAAGCTTAAAAGCTTAATACAAACGTGAAATAGTGAAAAAAAAATTGTTTTAATTGTCTGGCCAATTGTTTTTATAACGGCCCGGTAAATGAATCCCTTGCTCGTTGACTCGAATCTGGAGTTTCCGGCCTTCTCTTTAATTATAGTATATTTTTAAAGGGGGTCATTATTTACATTTTTTTTTGGTTTTTGACACTTTTGAAGATGAACACGGGTTATTTCATCAATCTGGTCATATTTTTCTTCCCATGTCCGATACTCGTGCCTGTGAGACAACTCTCAGCTTTTAAACTTTTGTTATAGGGATATTGTCAACTTTAACCCACCATATAGTCTTTAACGTTTGGACGTACTGTTTTAAGAACACTAACGAGTGATATAGGAATGAACACTTCTGCCATTTTAAAAGTGTTTTGTCTTTCTTTAAATATGATAGTGGGTATTGTTAACCTCTCTGGATTGCATAATGCCTTGGACAGCAAAACTCTTGATATTTTTGTGATCGTTATATGAAAGTGCAGAATTATGAAATTATGAAAATTATGAAATTATGAATTATGAAATAAACATGAAGCAAACACAACCTAATTTAACATCAGTTATGAGTGGTAAAGTTATGTGTAAATTCTATTCGTATCACTCAGCGCTAGTAAAGTAATGTGTCTTATATAGTTAAAGAAAACATTGTACAAAATTTAAGAATGGCAGTAGTATGTTGTCCATTTGATGAGTTTTGTTTGTAAGTTAAAAGTATAAACAATCTTATGCTAAAACTTATTGTACATATTTAATCTGGATACTAGTATGTACAAGGTAACATTGATCAATCAAACATAAAATCAATCACATATCAAGTTATAAAGACAGCTGATACTTGTGAATTTTGAAAATTTGTTTCAATTTATCCGATTTTCAAGCTATCCGAATTTCATAGCACAGCACGGTGCTTTGAATTTAGGTCAAGGGTTAAGAGTAGTTATTATTTCTTTTTAAGATTTGAAACAGTTCAATAAAATATTAATCTGTAGATAGTTAGAAAACATTTAAAGCAAAACACTTACATGTTATAAAGAAATATAAAACGCAAAATGTCATTCCTGTTACCTTGAAAAATCTGCCATTTTGTCAAAACAGCTTCACGTGACTGGAATCTTAACAAACTATTGGTTCAGAAGTTACGATATTATGGACGTTATTTGTATCACAATTTTTGGACTTACAGCACTCTGACCTATTCAATATATCGTTACAGGCAAGAACCAGAGTGATGTTGTTCTTACCAGCAAACAATTACGAACATTTTGATACCAAAGACTCATTTTTTCAAAATTGGAGTTACGACACTCTGGAAGTAAGGCGACGTACTGTCTTTATCCTATTTGTACGACAATAAAAATATAACTAATAAACGCCTTATCATATATCAATCCGGATATATGTTTATGATATATCTATACGGGTATATGTTTATGATATATTATCCGGATATATGTGAATGATATATCAATCCGGGTATATGTTTATGATATATTATCCGGATACATGTTTCTGTTTCATTAAAGTATCATGGTCAAACAATATCCATTTTTTGAATCGAGCTATTGAAAAAGAAAACAA